CCATCTGGGTAGACCTGGTCCTCACACAGGGACCTCTAGCCAGGACTGTCAGTGGCAGACCCCTTGCATTTGAAAAGAGACAGATGTGGGTTTAATTCCTACCTGGTAAAAATAAATCTTCTCTCATTTCTGCTCTGGCTTCTTCAGAGAAGCATCGTTTCTTCAACCACTCAGCTTCATACTCGCTTGCATGATCATCAGGCCATGTAATAGACACCTTCCAACAGAAAACAAAAGATGATTTTAGAATTAAAAAAAAAAAAATCAAACCCCACCAAACAGAACAACCACAAAACCCTTTAGAAATTGTAATATTTAGATCGATAACACCACAGTTAAGCTTTCCCTGGAGCATAATGGCAAAAAGGTAATGAAACCCAACCTGAACATCATCCAAATTCTGACACCTTTTATAAATGTTCTTTTTCACAGGAACCAATGACCTAATTTGCTGGTTTATGTGGGCTGCTTTCACTGTGGGAGCTGTGCTTAGCAGAAAGGGAATCACAGAAGCTGGTACTTATCCCTGGGGAGAGTGCTTCACCACAACTTGGAAGAGAGCAAAAATATCTTCCAATACACTGACAACTTGTTAAAAAAAGGACAAGAAAGACAGGCAAAAAAAGAAATGCTAGGAGAGAAATCCCTCTTCTAAATTTGAAGTCTTCCCTCTTTCAAATAAATTTTTAAAAGGTGTTTTTTTTTTTAATTCCTGAAAAAAAAAAACCAAAAAAACAAAAGAAAACAACCAGAAAGAAAACATATGGCATTGAACTGAAGGGGCTCAGTGGAGCACACACCTCAGCTGAAGTCTCAGGGCTGTTGAGTAGGTGTCAATCCCATTCCACGTAATTCTGCTCGTTCACATGATGCTACAACACCAGTATCAGTTTAGGATTAGTGCTGTGCTTTCATCAGTTCCTGTGTGTAAGTGGAAGCAAGCAATCCCTCTACTCTTGTAATACCTTTGCCTATTCAAAGCTTGAATTTACACAGCATTAATTTTGGTAACAATCACCCTGGGAGTGCAGAATTCCTCCCACAGACCCTTACCCTGCAGCTGAGCCGTGCCCCCACACGGGCCAGCCTCTGCCCCAGCTGCCCCAGGGCTGCCTGCTGCATCTTTAAGAGGTTTAAAACACCTTCCAGTGTGAGAGGAAGGAAATGAGTTTGCATATTAAAGGAGCCATGTACCGCTTTTAATAAACCCCATAAAATCTAAATGACATATTAGGTTTTTATATGGCAGAAATAATTAAAATTCATAAGGAGGGCAGTTCCTGTCCTCTCTTGCCCAATAACCTCCTCTTTTTCATGAATTAATGTTAATGTAGATAAGTAGATATTGATAGAGATACAGACACTAGTCCAACTCTGAATATTTGGTTCAGTTTTGCCTTGAGTGCTTGCTCTAAGATGAAGTCTTTTGCACATTGGAAATTATTTATTAAACTGATGTTTTCATTACGGATTAAGGTCATCATTACTTTGCCATTTGTTATTCCAATTTTCAAGCCACTTACTTACGGAATGAAGAATTTTTAAAAAAGCGTAATTAAACATTTGGGGAATGCCTTTATTCTCTTTTCAACATCTGGTAACACAAAAACATACAGCAGAATTTTAAAAAACATGATTAAAAACATACTCTAAAAACTGAAGCCTGGGTTTCTGCAGCTTCTGCATAGAAGGCAGTCTAGTGAAGTTCCCACTGCTTGGAAAATTGGAAACAGAGCCCCCATTTTAAGAAGGGAAAAAAGAGAAGACCAGGGGAACTACAGGCCAGTGAGTCTCACCTCTGCTCTTACTAGACCCCCCTGGAGTATTGTGTTCAGCTCATGAACCTGTTAAATGGTCCATAGGAGGCCACAAAGATGGTAAGAGGGCTGACCTCCTCTCCTACAAGGCCAGGCTGAGAGAGCTGGGGTTGTTCAGCCTCCAGAAAAGGCAGCCCAAGGGAGACCTTACTGCAGACTCCCAGCATCTGAGGAGGGCCCACAAGGAAGCTGGGGGAGGATTTTTTACAAGAACCTCTTGCAACAGGACAAGGAGTGATGGTTTTAGACTGAAAAAGGGCAGATTGAAATTATGTATAAGGAAGGAGCTCTTCACTGTGAGGGTGGGAAGACACAGGAACAGGTTGCTTGGGGAAGCTGGGAATGCCCCCTCCCTGGAAGTGCTCACAGTCAGGTTGGACAGGTGTTGGAGCAACCTGCTGTACATGATTTCTCAGGTCCCTTCCAACGCACACCATTCTATGATTCTATGACCCTGCGATAAGCTCCACAGCGTGAGGTCTCATCCAAAGGCTGGACACCCCGAGCTAACCACACTGTGGCTCCGCGGTGCGAGCACATGGCAGGGGCTGCGGCCAGACAGTTGGTCGTTACAGGCTCACCTGGCACTGCCTCCCATTTACAGACCGACAAGCACCTTCAGACAAGTCTCACGAGAGGACAAAGGAACATCTGCTTCAAATACCTTCCCTCTGTCGGCCAGGGCGACAGCCTTGGCCACAACGTTGACGTCCAGGTCCTCAAGGAGCAGCCTGCGCGCTCCGGCCGAGCGCAGGAAGCAGCGGGGACACTGGCAGTTGTCCCTCAGCCAGACGCAGGG